GCTGAAACTATTCAGATTTCAAATGTCAATAGCAAAGAAAAGAAAAATGTAAGATTACTTGCATTAAAAAAAAGTATCCTCTTATTAAAAAAAAAAATAAAGCTCCTACTAGGAGCATGGAATAAGGTACAATCACTGAGGGAACCACAGCCACCAGGGCTCTGCACACACCACAGAGACAAGCTCTGTTTGGGAATACAATCTCAACACATCTGCCAAGGCAGAGGACAAGCCTTCCACGGGCTGTGCGAGTGTACCAGTGGAGTTAAAATGAGTGGGGTCCAACTGAAAGTACTCCCAACAGCAATGAAGGATATGAAATGAGCATTGATCAAGCACATACCAGAAATCCTACATGACCAGAAACTCTAACAAATGCAAAATCTGAGCCTCTGACCTTCACCCTGTTCTTTCCTCCCCTTAGAAAACTGGTCCCCCTCTCCTTGCACAAATTCCACCCACTTAAAAAAATTTTTTTTAATTCATTTTCATTTGTGTTAAAGGGGGAGAGGGGAAGCAAGAGATGTCCCAACCAGTGATTGAATCGCTGACCCTAACCCCGACCCTCCCACGGCCGAGGCTGGGCCAGGATGAAGCCGGAGCCCGTGGATGGCGGAGCGCACCTGCAGGAGCTTCCCTGCTGCTGCCCGCCCTGTGCACCCGGCACGCTGGGATCAGAGGCACGGCCGGCGCAAACCCAGACACCCCAAGCAGGGCCTTAAGCACTGAGTCAAATGACCAGCACCTTAATTGATAGTTCTTATATTCATTTTTCCTAATTCTTATTTTTAATCCATTTCATCCAGGAAATGTGTTACCAACTATTGTCATGTACATGACTTTAATCCGTCCCCAAACCCTGAGAATTAGGCATGATCTTCACTGCTTGGAAAAGCAAACTTATCTATTGAAAGGCACATATGGGGTCCCAGTGTGATATCCTAGTGGCTAAAGTCCTCACCTTGCATGCACCAGGATCCCATATGGGCATCTGGTCATGTCCTGGTGGCCCTGCTTCCCATCTACCTTCCTGCTTATAGCCTGGGAAAGCAGTCCAGGAAGGCCCAAAGCCTTGGGACCCTGCACCTGCGTGGGAGACCAGGAGGAAGTTCCTGGCTCCTGGCTTCAGATCAGCTCAGCTCTAGCTGTTGCGGTCACCTGGGGAGTAAGCCAGCAGACAGAAGATTTTTCTCTCTGTCTCACCTCCTCTCTGTATATCTGACTTTCCAATAAAAAATGGAAGAAATCGAAAGAAAGAAAGAAAGAAAGAAAGAAAGACACAAATGCTCAAACTTTATCCTGTGAGCTGTCCTTGTCCAGTTCAGTGTTTCTCCAAGGGTGACCTATCAAAGGTTACCAAATGCATCTGCTTAAAATGTGAACATTATGCCAGACTTATCAAAGACTTGAGACGAGATCCAGCACTCCTGTGTTTTAACAAGCTGGCCAGAAGATTGAAGTGGATCCTAATACTTGAGTCCTGCTATTTATTTTCTCGATTACACACACACCTCCTTTCATATAGGGCATGACTAGCAAAGGCCAGTGTTGTTCTGAAACGCCATCAGAAAGCTTCCTTCTTCCCGCTCCTTCGGTGTCCTCTTCTCCTTTGAAGTTCTGATCCCAATAGTACAACATCTTACGTAACCTCCTCCCAGTCAGCACTGCCATGACTGCTCTCTGACTGCCGCAGGCTCATCTTCCCTTCTTCCAACAGTCTTCACTCCATTTCTGCAGCTTCTCAATGGAACACAATCTCACACAGCACTATTTTCAAGTATAGCCCAACTCTCAGGCTCATGACGACTGGCAAAAAATAAGTTTACAGTGTTGTCAAACGCCCCAACTACTCCTGTCCTCATTGAATCACCCCCTTTCCATGTCCTGACCCCAGAGCAAGTGACAATTTTTAAAAATTATTTCAAAAGAAAAACCAATCCCGCTTCTCATATTAGCATTGGTTAATTCTCCCAACCACCACTTTCATCTTCATAGGCTACCTTATACCACAACAAATAGAAAAACAGTTCTTACTATAGAGTTTGTTTGTGAAAAGACAAATGGCACATCATCTCCTCTCCTTCTTACAGAAAATACCAGTGGTGCTTTTAGCCCTGCCTCTAATCTGTTATCACGGCAAAAGAGTGGGGGGCCTTACACTGATCCATTTAAGAAATGGCATGCCCCAGGCTTTTGTTCATGCCTCACTCCAGGGTGGAGATGCAAAGCAAAGTGGGTAGACAACCGCCTAGCAATCAGATGGACCCCCAGGGCCACATGACCAACATCTGACTTTCATCGATGAAACACCCAGTGGTAGGGTGTGGAGGACTGTGCAGCAGCAGGGGGCGGAGTGGACTGTAGGGTGAAGACAAAACACCAGGGTACAGCACTTGGCAGGAGCCTGGTGCCCAGGAACACTAAGGGCTACCAGGAGCAAATGTCACACCATTATTGTTCTCACTCCCAAGCCTGTGGGAGGGAAAGCAGTTGACCCTGGGCGCAGGTTCTAGTCCTGACTGCTCCACTCCCCATCCAGCTCCCTACTTATTATAAATATGGTTCTAAGCCTTGGGCCCCTGCACCTATGTGAGAAACCTGGAAGAAGCTCCTGGCTCCTGGCATAAGATCAGCTCAGCCATGGCCACTGCAGCCACTGGGGAAGGGAGTCAGCAGATGGAAGAACTCTCTGTAGCTCTCCTTCTCTCTGTAAATGCGCCTTTCAAACAAAATAAATAAAATGTTTTTATAATATTACTCTCGCTAGGGAGAAAATCAGGAGAACAAAGCAATGAAATGTTGATTGCTTAAAATAGCTTTTCAAGAAAAAAGTGTATGTGTTTTTCTCCCTCTGGGTATTTGCAATAAGCATCCCTATGACTGGTCTTCAAATGGAAACAAAGCATCTTGGAACAGTTAAAGCAGTAAACATCACAATGCATCTAGAATGTTCTTCAAGGCTGCAAAGTTCAAGTTACATTTTATGCAGCATAACATGTGTAACTAATGTAACTTTGAACTCCTGAATAAATGTTATGGCATTTCTTTCAGACTCATTGCTATGCTATTCAGAAAGGCAGCTATACATTTCAGAAAAATGGAAATTATCTACTTTAACTACACCTTATTTCATGTTAGAAAATATGTTAGAATATATACATTGTCACAAAAATTAGAGACATTTGAACAAATGTTTCACCAACAAATACCACATTGCTCCATTGTTTTTAAAGTTTTGACTACTGTGTGTAATTAAATCACAGCTTTACAGAATTTTTACAATGATCCTTATTTAATCCTAAAAACCTACATGAATTTGAAAGACATCCATATGTACTGCAAAAATGCTATGCCTTTTATTACATTTAGTATCAAGTACAGTAACATATTGTAACGCACTTGGCAATTAAGTAAAAAAAAATGTTAGATTCTCATCTTGATTTTTAGATTTGTTTTTATGAACAGGTATACAGAAAGGAGAGACAGAGAGCAAGATCTTCCATCTGATAATTCACTCCCCAAGCAGCCGCAACAGCCAGAGCTGAGCTGATCCAAAGCCAGAAGCCAGGAGCTCTTTCCTGGTCTCCCAGGCAACTGCAGGGTCCCGAGGCTTCGGGCCGCCCTCCATTGCTTTCCCAGGCCGCAAGCAAGAAGCAGGTTGGAAATGGGGCTGCCAGGATTAGAACCAGGGCCCATATGGGACTGTGCAAGGTGAGGATTTTAGCCACTAGGCTATGGCACCAGGCCATCTCAACTGATTTTCTTTTAACTAAGCTCGAAAATGAACGAAATAATTATATTTTAATCTCAACTACTCAGCCATGAAGCCTTTTAAGATTCACCCTGCTACTTTCTCTCTGTGAATTTCATTCTATTCATTCAAAACACATGATTTTCACGTTAATTGAAATAATGAAGTCAAACTTCTGGGTGGAAAGTAAACATGATTTGGTGGAAATGAAAATATTTATAATTAGGCTTATTGGATAAACATTTTTCACTCTTGACATTTTTAACTTGAAAGGTGTAAATCTGCAGCTGCAAAAACATAATTGAACCACCTATTAATAAAAACCACCTTGCAAAACTACAAAATTTACCAATACTTCTATTTTCCCCAAACCTCTCATTGAAAAAAGAAAACACCTCTAGTTCCTGGTAATGTGGCATCTTGATAAAGCTTATTTCTCCGAAACTGAAGTCAATGGATGAAAAAGAACAATTCCTTTGGCAAGTCAGCTGGTGTTGGCTCCTTTGCTGCCATTTCGGAGCTGCCATGGGCAGTGTGGCAACACCGGGTGCCGGGTGCGCAAGTCAAAGCCCCGAAGACCACAGAACGGACCGGAAAACCTACCCGTTCTCTAGCAGGCAAACTTGGCAATTCGATACTTCTGTACAAGACATAGAAATGTATGCGACTGCCTTTATAAACGCCCAAACGGCTTGAAGAAAAAGGCTTCCCACCCCAGACGGAAGGATCAACTCCCAGGTCCTCAATCTGGTTTTTTGAGATTACGAAGTCAATGAAAACCTCCACCTTTCCCAGGTGGATCCTAGATTGTCAGAACAGGTTTCTGAGAGCTGTCTCCTCCAGGTCTACGAAAACTATTAAAAGGGGGCAGAGCTGATGTTTGAGCCTTCTAGCAATAAAACATACTCATCCTTATTTATCAATTTTAAAAAACAATGCACCTCACCTGTTTATCGTATCATCCAATAAAGTTTGCATGCTACTTAATAACCATAAGAATGTGTAATAGTTACCTTGCCTTGATTGAATTTTAAAGACAACTCAGTCCAAACTCAGGCAATTTTACGGCTGGGTACTCTTGCACAACTTAATTTCTCTGCCTCAGCTCCCTGAATCGAAAATTGGAAATAGGAATCAGACCTAGCCCAGGTGTTTTTGCAAAAATCGAACCACTAAGAGCCCGGACAGTAACTTGGAGGCCACACCTTGGCAGGTACAGCACGCTGTCCTCCCGCGCCCTGTCATCACCATGGTAACCACCACCGGGACCCCGGAGGCTCCCAAACGGGGTGTCCTCCTCCCGAGGCGGCCGAGCGGGCTGGAGGGCCACCTGCGGGGAGGGCTCTGGGAGAGCAAGCTCCTGCAACGCTCCGCACCGTGGTCGTGTACGGTCCCGGCTGCTCCGAGCGCCGCAGCGGGCCCCTCAGGCCTAGCCGCGGCCGAGGACCGCCGCCTCGGGTCGAACAGTTCTACGGCTCAGGGCGCTGCTCGGCAGCCGCCTGTCGACTGCCGCCCACGGCCGGCGGCCACCTCAGCCGCCTCGGCGCCGCTTCCGGCGCAGCCCGGCCTGGCGAGGGCGCCCGCCCCCGTCCGCCACGGGATTTGGCCCCTCTCGGCCCCCGTCCACGGACCTTCGTCGCCGTTCTCGCCGCCTTTTCCTCCCTTCCCCCGGTTCCCTTTCACTTCCGGGGCTGCGCGGGCTCCCCTGTTGGTTCCATAACAACATCCAGTCGGCTTCCCTCAGGCGGCGGGACCTGCGCGGCCGCCGCCTCCCCGGAGCCTCCCTCGGCGCAGGCCACCATGGCGACCAACCCGCAGCCGCAGCCGCCGCCCCCGGCGCCGCCGCCGCCGCCGCCTCAGCCGCAGCCGCCGCCGCCGCCGCCGGGCCCGGGCACGGGCGGCTCGGGCGGGCCGGGCGGCGCGGGAGCCGGAGCCGGGGACCCGCAGCTCGTGGCGATGATCGTGAACCACCTCAAGAGTCAGGGGCTCTTCGACCAGTTCCGCAGGGACTGCCTGGCCGACGTGGACACCAAGGTGCGGGGGGCCGGGGCGGCGGGCAGCGGGAGGTGTCCCGCGGCCGTGCACGGGCCGGCGGCCACTGCACCTGCCGGGGCGCGGGGCCAGCGCCCCTCTCCGCGCACCAGGGCGAGCCGGGCGCCGGGCGTTCATTCATTCGCGGGGTCCTGTCGTCGGTGTAAAAGGGCTCGTGGTGTGGAGATGCCCACCGGATGCCGGGCACTGCTTGGGCGCTGGAAGTGCGCCCCTACGGGGAGTCGGAGCGAGTCTTGGTTCCTTTCGTAGACTGCTTCGGAAACACTCGTGCGAGCGGTGTTGACTTTTGGATTCGTTTCTCGTCCCGGATAGTTCTCCCTCCGCGGACCCGGTTTACTTTGTATCCAAGTTGGCTTTTGCTTTCTTTGCCGGCTCTGCAGGCGACCAGGGCCTTGGCTTTTGGAGAAATCTTTCAGTGGTAATTGAAACGACATAGTTGCACTGTGTTTTTGCTGGGCATTAGCACTGAGGATACAAAGGCACAAGCGTGGCCGCGGGAAAAGTTGGGTTGGGAGACGGGGCCTTTGGTGGCTGCCTGGTTTAGGTGGCGAAGGCCCGTGGTTGCCGAGGGAACTGAACCGTTGAGCAAGAGAGGATGCCCCGGTGAGAGCAGATAGCTGCTGGAGGAAAAACAGGAAACGAGGACAAGTTCAGCACGGTAGATGGAGAGGGACAAGAGGGGCTGCAGGGGGAAAGGAATGGCTCTGGAGCGAAGACCAGATACCCCCGCGGGAGCGGGCCAACTGAGCTGGATTGGCAAGGAGTGAGCAAAGTTATAGGAGGAAGGAGCAGTCGGAGAGGTGGGATGGAAAACCAGTGGAATTCTCTGTGGAAGGCAGGATTGGTGGACAAGTCCTCGGGTTCGGGGCGGGGGCCTGCTTTGTTTCTTCTTTAAGTCTCCTTAGACCCGGTCAGCTCAGCTTGCATAGAGTGAGGGTCCGGGTTTCCTGACAGCAGACATGTTTCACTCTGCTGAGGAGGCTTGCTTTTTGGAGAAAGAGGTGTTTACAGCACCTGTAGGTTCTTCTGGGAGTTTAAGGTGAGATGTATAGGATTCCAGAGTTTCCAAAAATGTGAGGCCATCTCCTGGTGTAAGAGCCTGGGCAGGTCCCAGGTCCCCCCTGTGGAAGGGGCCGACTCGGGTCTTGCAGCGATGCTGTGGCGTTTATGAAGCAATGGGATTAAAAGATAAGCTTATTTTAGTGCTAAAAATGTTCAAATCCATGCATAGTTGTTTGGGTTTTTTGTTTGTTTGTTTTTAGTAATACACATTTTGCATGAATTTTATAAAAACCTCTTGTCTAGTTTTCACCTGGGAATTTTTAGGGACTTTCTAAAAAAATAGTGCCAATTGCCTTTTTTTGTCATTTTTCAATAGGGAAAGATTAGGTAAATGTTACTTAGATAAAGCTGATTGTTCGTATCCAGTACAACACTTTGCTGTTGTCAGAAACACAGGAATCTAGTGTTATCACTGTGACTGCAAATATGTGACTGTTAAATGCTGATTGATGGGGACCAACAAGGTCTAAGGCCTCACTTTTTTTCCTTCCGCCTTCACTAAATGTCATTGCTGTGTGCCTGACAGTCCAGCCGGCACCTTTCAAAACTGGACGTTAAAGCCTTGCTTGTGGGGCAGGAGTTTGCCACAGTGATTGGGGCGAGGTCGCCTGGGACACTGCATCCCGTCCCACAGTGTCGCATTGGAGGACCAGCCCTACATTTGGCTCCAGCTTCCCGCTGCCGCCCACCCTGCAGGCGTTAAGGGACACCTCAGGTAGCTGGGTCCCTGCCATCCACATTGGAGACCCAAATTGAGGTCAAGCCTCGTGGCTTCCGGCTGACACAGTCCTGGCTGTTACAGACAACGCAATAGGGGTGTGAACGAAAGGGGGAAGACATCTCTCAGTCTCTGCCATTCAGATAAATTCATTTTAATAATATTAACTTTTCTCGGGGGGGTGGCGAAAGTTACTTGGACCTTCTAGCAAGGAAAATACACGTGGGCGTGTTAAAATGCTCTTAGAAAATTCAGTTTGACTATGGGCAGTTTCATGTAGTTTGCCCTTTTATGTTGTTTGGGGAAGTTCAGGAATCATAGAGTCCCCATGTTTGTTTTTTATGGGTTAATTTTTATTTGAAAGAGTGGCAAGGAAAGGAGGGAGAGACAGAAAGATTTTCCATCCACAAGGTCACTTCCCAAATGGCCGCAACATTCTGGGCTGACCCAGACTGAAGACGGTAACCAGCAACCAGCAGCTCCGTCCGGGGCTCCCATATGAGGGGCCTGTATGACTGCTTTTCCAGGCACGTTAGTAGGGGCCTGGGTTGGAACTGGAGCAACCGTCGAATTAGCTGTCGCGTAGGGTGTCGGTGCGACTGGCAGTGGCTTACCTCGTTGTGCCACAACACTGGCCAAAGGTTCCCTGTTACCATGGTGGAGAATAGAGTAGAACTGAAATGACCCGGTCTCCCGAGGCAGGGCTGGCTGATGTTCATCCCTCAGCTGTCAGGTGCTCACTAGAAGTTTCGCGGGTCTGAAGACCCTCCTCCCCTGACCCCTTCATGATGGTCCTCTCCTTCCTTCTGTACCCTTCTTTTTCTTCTCTCTTGGGTAGAAGTTTTGGTGATTGATTCAATTAAAAATACTGATATTTACTGAGTACTGTTGTATTCTCCTTTTTTCTATTTAAAAAAAATAAATAAGTTTGGAAGTCCCAAAAAATAATGAAAGCCAAAGTTTTGTTCATAAGCACTTAATATTCAGATCAATGTTTTAAATAGGCCAAAATAGCACTAATGGTCTCAGGTTATACAAAGGAGGAACACACCAATGGGATCCTTGAGTCTCTTCTGCCTCCTGGTGCCTTCGGACCTCCTGCCTTCTGTGATCAAGTTTCCCCTGTGCCATATAGGGTTGTGGCAGTTACTGGGTTACATTTCACATACACATCTGAGACCTGCCAGATGTTCTCCAAGAACAAGACTAATGCAGCTCAGTGCACTTAAACCAGAGCAGTCTTTGAGGATTCTTAACAAAGAGAGATTTGAGTTTAGCAGATCAGATCAACCTTTCTCACCCCAAAAAGTAGTGCCTTGGGTAGTCCAAGATCCAGTTACTGGTACGTCTTCTCTGTTATAGAGCACCACCTCTCACGCTGCTGGAGCAGGCCTAACGGTTACAAAGGCATTCTGGCTGCTTGTGCTAACTGGCAGCTACTGGCTGAAGAGCAAGGATCTAGAGAGCGTAATCTGTCACAGGCAAGAGCGCGTCTGCCAAGCAATTGTGATTCCTTCCTCCCCAAATGGTAAAGGCCAGTGTTTGGATACTGTCTGAAAACTTTCATGGAGCAGCTTTTAACATGCCTGGCATGGGTGTGATGCTAGGAGTCTGGCACTTCCTCCAGGTCTCCCATGGGCGCAGGGTCCAAGCACTCAGGCTGTTTCCACTGCTTGCCAGGAATATCATAAGGGAGCCAGATCAGAAGTGGAGCAGTTGGGACTCAAAATGGCTCCCATACAGGATGGCCCCGTGATCCTTGGGGTGCCCTGTGCTAACAGCATCCCACCCTCTACCCAGCAGATTTCTATAGCACCCCTCTCAGTTGTAACAACCAAAATTGTCTCCAGGCATTGCCAAATGTCCTCTGGGAGCTCAGAGTGGGGATGAGATGATTCGTGGTTGAGTGCCACTGCCTTTCACAAGAAATACCCACTTCAAGTTGGCATGCCTTTCCCTGGAGTCCATGCCCTTCAGCCCAGTTCTGCCTGCTCAGTACAGACCTTCATCACTGGTTATGACATGCTTTGGGAAGTGCATTCCTTCTTCACATAGGATTAATTCGGAAAGCTCAGTTACCGTATCCCTTTGCTCATGCCTGCAATACGTTCCCATTCTCTACCCTAATATTTTCAAGTTGTGGAAGTTTCTAAAGCTTTCCAGCTGGCCTTAACCTAGGCTTCCAGCTTCTTTTCTCTGATATTTTGCATTTTCTTCTCCACCCACATTGGGGTGCCAGTTAGATGGCTTCCCAAATGTTCCTGCCCATGCATTTTCTTATCCCCTTGGTCTTGTCTTACACTGTTGGCTTTATCTGCAAAGGAAGTTGTTCCCTTTTTCTGCTACATTGTGAAACTTGAAGTTGGATTTTTCCAACTCTGTGCTACCTTCACAAAGAAGGCTTACTTCCTCAGCTCCTCTCCCTTTCATTGTTGCAAATCATCTAACAGCAGCATTTGTCTTTTTATGTTGTCCTCTCTTGTATTCTTAATATTTTGAAACAGCTTGTTTTAAACAAAACATGCAGTACATTGCCAGGCAGATGAAGTTATAAACAGGGTTTCCTGAGCGGTGCTTCTTTGTTGCCATATTGATACCATGAACAATATTAACACTGTTGGAGATGCTTGAGACTGTCCATATTGTATAACAGTATAACACAGGGAGGATTGTTAACATCAGTGTGTGTTTGTTCTTTCCAGCCAGCCTATCAGAATCTGAGACAGCGTGTAGACAACTTTGTTGCAAACCACTTGGCAACTCATACCTGGAGTCCTCATCTCAACAAGAATCAACTAAGAAACAATATTAGACAACAAGTCCTCAAGTAAGTCTCACAGAATTCCTAGGCAGGCTTGAAAGTGACCCAACCATTTTGCCTGAAAACA